TGGGATGTCTGTGACTTTACTGCCTATGTTTTCTTCCAGGATTTTTATGGTTTCGTGACTTACACTTAAGTCTTTTATCCATTTTGAGTTTATTTTTGTGGATGGTGAAAGTTGGTGGTCTAGTTTCATTCTTTTGCATGTATCTGTCCAGTTTTCCCAGCACCACTTATTGAAGAGACTGTCCTTACTCCATTGGATACTCTTGCCTCCTTTGTCAAATATTAACTGACCATAATGGCGTGGGTCTGTTTCTGGGGTCTCTGTTCTGTTCCATTGATCTATATGCCTGTTGTTTCACCCTGTCTTTTAAACATTAGTATATTAAGAAATAAGTTTGTATCTAGAATGTTTCTTCCTTTCTTTGCAAGGCATTAAGGCATTTACAGAAAAGTGGCAAAGTGCTGGAGCCTCGCAGCCAATGTTTGGATCCGTGGTAGAAAGAGGAGAGAGAGAGAGAGAGAGAGACCCTATTGGTATTGTCTTCAAAATACACTTAGAATCTGATTACTTGTTACCATCCTCTCTGCTACAACCCTGGTCCAAGCCAAGCCACCATTATTTTCCACCTGGATTATTACAATGGCCTCTACCAGGTCTCCTTGCTTTTACTATGCACCCCTACAGCCCATTCTCAACACAGAAGCCAGGCGATCATTTTTAAACACAATCAGATAGGTCACTCCGCCATGCAAAACACTTCAGTTCTTTCAAAGATATTTTGATCTCAGTTCCTGTTACCTGGCATACTCATTGTGACACCAAGAAAATTTTCAAATGTAAACATTAAATCCCAGACTCTCTGTGCCTTGAGATGCAGCAAGTAGTTGACTCTGCAAAGTCTCCTTGCTTGCTTATAATTTGAGGAACAATTTTATTATGTGAACAGACTAATACTGAATACATATCAAGTAAAATGAGGACTCAGAAATGATTACTTACGTTCGGAAAAAGAAAGAAAAGATTTCCCATCAAGAGAAAGTATTTACCATAGAGTAAATTCCCTTCCTTTTTCTTGACCCTTTAGTACAAAATGTACTAGAAGAGTCACATTTTTCTTTGAGCGGAATCCTTGAATAGCTACAGAGCTGGGGTGTTTTTATTTTATAGATGTCCCCCGTTACTTCCCCCATCGACCCCCTCCACCCTGCTCCCACCCCAGGTCTTCACAGCACTATTGTCCGTGTCCTTAGGCTGTGCACATATGCATATAAATTCTTTGCTTAATCTCTCCCCCTCCCCTCTCTCTGAGATTCTTCAGTCTGTTCCATGCTTCCATGTCTCTGGATCTATTTTCTTTGCCAGTTTACTTTGTTCAAGCCTGGGGTGTTTTTAAAAAAATATGAATAATGATGTTTTATCTACACATGTGATGTGCCATGTTTTGGTAAAACAGGAGAACTGAAATGGTATGAAGAAATTCTTAACACAGTAAAATAAACTTTTGTAGCATCAGACATGGATAGACCTTAACAGTTCATCTATGATAAGCCATTTATTCAGGGTCAGCTATAATTTAGGTATTATTATAAGGGAGGCTACAAAAATAAATAAGTCTAAACACTATATTTTAAAGTTGTTGAATATTGATAGAACCTAGGACCCTCTGTTTCCAAATTTCTTCACTCCAAAATTGGAAAATATACCTAAGGGTTTTTCTTGTCAGCAGCAGTAGCTTAGCAGAATCAGAAGCCTGTGTTAAAGTTAATGGAGAAATTATTTTCATTTCCATCCCTGTTTCCTCTGGTTTCTTCCTGTTCCCTCTTCTCAATACTAAGTCACTGCATTCATAGTAGTGTTACATTAAGCAAAGGATAGGCTTTGAGCATTGCTTTTCAGTAATTAGTGATAAGCTCAGAAAAAAAAATAATTTTAAAATAAAATGCCCTTGGATTACCTTCTCAACCATGAACATCAATTCAGTAAGTCCATCCGTTAATTTGTGACTCTAAGCAACACCCCCTCATTCTTTGATGGCCTTTTACTAAAAAGACTATGTTTTTGTTGTGTTTTGGTCGTTACATTTACTTTCTTCAACTCACACAAAGTTCTCTTCAATTTTGTCTCTTTCTCTACTCCTCATCAACCCTGACTTTCTCTCTCTTTCTCTGGATGTCGGGTATTCCATGTTTTCTGTATGTCATAATGTCTGAAAACTTGAATTCAGAATTGACAACAATGAAGCAAATCGTTTGCTATCAAATGAAGTCCTGTGTTTTCTAGGATGAAAACTATGAATGAAGTACTGGAAGAAAAAAAAGTTATGGACTCAAATGTGAAATCACAGCATTTAATGATTAATAAAGAAATAAGATCTGAGAAGTCATAGCAGGCTGCAGACTATACATGGCTTTCTTTCAGGTTTGACTCAGAAGAATGTTTGTTCAAAGCAAATAGCTTTCCATCTAGGATTTAAAAACATATGTATATATACATAAATATATAGATATACAAACATACCTGTATACACAAATACATCCACAGGTAACATATGAATGAATATGTATAAATATATGTACATACATATATAATGACCAATCTGTCAACTTATGAAACAAAATGAGTGTTTTTTTAAATGAAAAAGCACACAAGTAGTTGTATATTCTTTCAAGTTATTTTGAAGAAAATAATAAAATCTTAATGATTATCAGAATATTCATCTACTGCACATAACTATACAAACCTCGAAAAACACCAGACTTCTCTTTGTTTCATTCATTGCTTTCTCTTTAGGTTTTCACTTTCTTACCAGATGCGTTTTCAATGGTTTTTGATACATACAATTTCCTTACCTTTTCCTGTGCTTTGTTTTGTCTCATGGGCACTGAAGCACTGTCGACATTGTAATAAACAATGGCATACTCATCTAGAAAATGAAGGAAAAACTTATCCTTATTAGAGCTCCAATTTTCTATAATCAGACATGTCAGACAATTGTAGATATATTAGGTCTAATCTTTTCAGTAATTTTGCAATAGTCAATCACTTCTCTATTTTCTAAATCCAAAAATATCTTATTAAAGTTTAAGGCACTTGCCCTAGCCAGGTGGCTCAGTTGGTTGGAGCATTGTCCCTCACACCAAAAGGTTGTGGGTTCCATTCCCAGTGAGGGCACATACCTAGGCTGTGGGTTAGATCCCCGGGGGGGCATGTACAGGAGGCAACCCATAGATGTTTTTCTCGTACATCATTGTTTCTCTTTCCCCGCCCCCCCCCTCCCAAAAAAAAGTCAGTAAAAACATATCTTCCTGTGAGGATTGGAAAAAAAGTTTAAGGCACTTGATGAAGTATATTCTATTAGTAAATGACAGAGCCAGAATTCAAATACTTCTTGACAAACTTTGTGTGACATTTAACAAGGAACTAATAACACTAACAATCCAGAGAAATTTTTTATGTTCTCTACAACATCTTAGTAATTGGTTTGGAACCTAATCTATCAACATTTTTCTATAACATTTCAGAATATTGCCCATTCCCCTTCTTAAATTGAAGTTCATAGAGGTAGCATGAAATGGTAAGTCTTGCCATTAACAACAACAAAAAAGACCTGATACTTAGCATAATTTATATTTCAAGTTAAAAGGATGCTCTTGCACATTATAGCTGAAGGAGCCTAGGTTTGAAAAACTCTAGTAACTGGAAATTGGTGCAGTCAGAATACATATCATGAAGTAAAAAAAAAATTTTTTTTAAATCAATATATAAAGTAAAATCACTTATAGTACAGTTTTTGTAGACTGAAGGTGATTTTGGAAAATTTGGTAGCTCAGGGAATCTTAGATTTAGATACCAAGTTCAATAGCTTTAGGGTGTGTTTGTGGCTTGCTTACCTGTTTCATAATAATCATAGACCATGACTGGGGCTGGCTGAATGTTGGACACAAAGTTGCTTTGCTCAACAGAGAAGGTGAAACTCTTTGCTGTACCAGAAACCTACAAAGACACAAATTACAAATACATCAGGGCAGATCTGGAAACAAAATCATGGAGAAATCTATCGCCTAAAGTTCATGACCTACCCAATTAAATAGATCCAGCATATCAATATCTTACATAATTTTACATAATGATTTAATCTTAAATATTTAGTTAGGTAACATTAAATTCTATAAAAATGTAAGTTCCATTGCTTATACTGAGGTGCAAGAAATTTAATTGAAAGCAATAATGTAGGCATTCATGTGAATGGTAATGATGTACACATAGAAAGAAAAGACTCTAAAACTCATGCCTCCTTTGCTGTAGTTCAAGACAAACTATAAAAGAATTATACATCTACCCTGTGGCCAGACTATATTAGATGTCATGAGGAAAGAAAAACAGGGAAATTATGTTTCTAAACTTGAGAATTATCTAGTCAGGTAGTCAAGGCATACATGAAATAACATTAGAGTTAACAAGGAGAAGCTGATCACTGGGATAGAAGACCACTGATAATCTTTAATGTCCCATATTTTTTGAGAAACTCCTGTCATGTATATCTATAAGAAATAAACTTATCCAATTACCCTCAGAAGAAGAAAAAAAAAAACCATGGAAGAAAAAAATTATTGCTCAACTTACATTTTCCAAGTAGAAAAGAACATGGTCATTCTTGATTTCAGACTTCATCACTTGGCCATTGTTTTCAAGCTTCGAAGAAATTAGCAGGGAAGGATTGGGGATAAATATTAAAAAATACTATTCTAGTATTAAATACTTCATAATTTTTATTTAACCAATTTGTCAGGAAACTATCTTATGGAATGTTCCCTTGTGCCATGATGTTTTCATAAGCACAAGTGGGAACTAAATTATAGCCCTGGAGGGTGTGGCTCAGTGGTTAAAACATCAGCCCATGCACTGAAGGGTCACTGGTTCGATTCCCTGTCAAGGGCATGTACCTGGGTTGCAGGGTCAATCCTCAGCTCCAGTCAGGGTGCACACAGGAGGCAAACAGTCAATGTGTCTCTCTCACATCCATGTTTCTCCCTTTCTCTCCCTCTCTCTCTATCTCCCGCCCTCCCCCTCCCTCCTTTCCACTCTCTAAAAACCAATAGAAAAAATGTCCTCAGGCCCAGTCAGTGTGGCTCGGTGGCTGAACATCAACCCAGAAACCAATAGGTTCCCGGTTGGATTCCCGGTCAGGGCACATGCCTGTTTCCAGCTCAATGCCCAGTAGGGGGCGTGCAGGAGGCAGCCGGTGGATGATGTTTCTCATCGATGTTTCTCTCTCTCTATTCCTCTTCCTTCCTCTCTCTCTAAAAATCAATAAAAACATATTTTTTTTTAAAAAATGTCCTTAGGTGAGGATTAACCAAAAAACAAACAAACAAAACAACAAATGAAAAAGAAATAGCCTATAAATTATGAAAAATAATGCCTGCTAATTACTATGAATTAAGAACACGACTCCTCCAGTTACAGCAAAAATAAAAATGTGAACTATTGAATCAGTTTATTTAAATGAAGAATTCCATAGCTTGGTTTTGCTAACCAGTTATTTCATCTCTACACTATTCCTTTTTCTGTGCTGAAAGATTGGGCTTCTATTATTTACCTCCTCAATGGATGACACGACTGGAGTAAATCCTGATAGCATTTTTACATCAACAAGGACCATATTGGAAATATTGCGCATTCCAATGTGTCTGAAATTTAAAAACAAAACACTAGTTAAACATCAGTTTAGCAAAGTGACTTATGGTGAGGTTGTGGGTACATACATACTAATTAGCCGTATGTCTGGAGGAAAGGCATAGCTGAAAACACCTAAAGAAAGTAATTCTTAAACATTTTAGAATAGGCGTAACTAGAATGATAATGGATGAGATGATACAAAGCAATGTAAGTTAGAGTAAATAATGAATTATCTGAACCTGGAATCTCCCCAAACCCCGCTTTTAAGATTACCTGAAGTCTCAAAGTCAGAACTTACAAACAAAGCTTGAAAATTGATTTTACATATACCTATGGTAGCCTTAGATTTGCACAAAACTTAAAGGAAATCTTTGTTAAAAAAGTGGGATGTTGGTAGAATCATAAGGTAGACGTATCCCTCAGAGATCTTCTAGGCTGTGTCCTTAATACTGGATAGGATAGTTGAGACATGAAGTTAAGAGTTCTACAATGTATTTGGTTCTTATTTTAACTCTGGTGTTCATGATACTATCATTTAGAAATCCTAAGAAAATTCACCAAACTAATTTTTCTTAGTGTTTCTTTGCATATCAACAAAGGTTAAAACTCTTTGGCATCTATATTTTTACTTAATTATTTTGCTTTTCTACTCTGAAAAATAAAAAACTAAAATTTTACTCTGTATAGTTATAAAATAAGCATTTGTAGATTTTCTCCTCTAGGCCCACCTGTGCTTGTTTTTAGGTGGAAAATAGTATCTCTATTGCCCAAAACTGACAGTACTTCCATACAAAAAAAATGGAAACAATACTGGAGTATCAGTGTGGCAGAAGCTTACAAATTTTACTTGCATACATCTAAATTATGTTTGCATAATTCTAGCTCTGATTTAGTTTAAGATGTACTAAATTGTGGTATCTACACAGAAAGCCATAAAGTGACTATGCTATAGAAATTACACACCTACAAGTAAACTCATCATGGTTACCATCATTCATATTTTGTTATTTTGCTACATATATATACCTATATATGTGTGTATAAGTATATGTGTATATATATTCACATGTGCACACACAAACATACATACACACACATATATTACTCTCTTTCTAACCTGGGAGTTGATATTAAAATGGACACTTACTTGGTGGTTACTGTCAGGTCAAAATTACTCTGGAATCTATCTGAACAGTTTTTCTTTACCATTTCCAAGGAAAGGAAAAATCCAGATTCATTCTTAGGTAGTAGCACATTATACCTAAGGGTAGCCTAGAAAACATAGCAAACCATTTTAAAAAATCCATCCATTTATTCTGTAGTAAAAACTAAAGGACTTATTGTTTCTCTTATCTTCATTATTAATGTACTTTATTTTATAATTCTACTTATCAGGGACTAAGGCTAAATGTAATTGTTTAGTTTTCAGAATACACAAGACCTTTAGCAACATAATTTAATGAAAGTATCAGAATACTTTTTAATAGTGACATTCCTCAAGAAACTTCCCAGTTACCCAGTTATTCTTCAGAGTAAATAACTCTTTATAAAATAACTTGCATTTTTGGTTATTAAATAGAGCTTATCAATGAGAAAATGAGTAGAAATAATCACAGAATTATGCAAAACAGTAGAATAACACTTCATATATAACTGAACAGAGAGCCCGACTTTTTCACTGGCAAACATTCACCTCTCTCTCGGGCAGATTTCCATTACCTGAATAAATGTGTAACCTTGCCCTTCCACATCGACTGTATAATCTCCATATGCTTTTGTTAGTTCTGAACATTGGACCAGTAAGCGGTTGTCATTGTTAACCTGGAAAGTCTCACTGGAATTTTTGCTGCTAAAGGTGACATTGTTTTGACCATTAGAGAATGTTAGCTTCATGTAACGGGTTATGGCAAGAAGGCAGACGTCATTGTCCTGCAAGAAGAGTACAAGCAACAATACAAGCTCTGTTATGCTGCAATATATTTAACTGTGAACTTTAAATCAGTCCATAGACACATTCCTAAAACAGGTCAATAGAACAACAAGAAACAATATCCTAAATAATAGGAAAATACATTTGCTTGTGTTAGTTGTTGCCATTTAAATTAATTTTCTTCAACAAATCTTAATCAGATTTTATTTTTCTAAAGGATTATATGAAGTATAATCTCTGCTTTTGAAAGCAGTGCCAAATCTTTTCTGAAAAATTAAGGTGTTATATAATTAAGCTGCTTTGGACAATGCTTACATTCAACTATCTCCAAACGGAGAAGTCAGCATCTGGAAAGGCTATTAGGAGATCCACTAACATGGTTTTACTTAGAAGCTAAGACTGAAAGAAAGTGAAGAGGGAAGTGAAGACTTTCCCCTTTGGAAATAAAATTGCATTTCTTTGAATTTAAATTTTTTTCCTGTTAAGGAAAGACATTACATCATTGTTTTTCATAACTATTTCTTCTGTTATTTGTTCATTCCATCTGCTTTACCCAATGTGCATGCCACAGAAATAAAGAAAAATACTCCTTGGTTGACATGTATTTTGACCATACATATCTAACATATCACAAAGACTCTGGTGTTTATGACAACAATCTCTCCTAGACTTACATTCTATTTTTACTATGTAAATGGAGATATAAATCAGGCATAAGTTTCTTGAAAAGGAGCCTCATTTTATTCATCTGTATATAGAGAATTCCTAGTAGAGTCCCCGATACACAAGAAGTGACTAATAAATAATTGTTGACTGAATATAACAGGATTTGTAACAGCAAATATCCTTTATCTTTGAAGGTATTTTCTATGATTATCCTTGCTGTCTAGCTTATTGTAGAATAGTGTCTTTTGCATGAAACATATAGTTATTAATATCAGACCCACACCAATCACCTGGATGGAAGAGAAGCGCCCATGGGAATTCATTTGTTGTGCGAGCCACTGCACAATCTTACTAGCATAGTGGAGGTCAGGAGCGTTTTGAGAAATGACAGCCAACAGCACATAGCAAGTTTTCTCAGTCTCAGCAGAAAGTGCCCGAGGAATAAAGGATGGGGATGCCTTTGTCCCAGGTTTCTTAGCTTTTTCCCAATAGATCACATTATCTGAGAAAAAGAAAGAATTTTCACACAGTCCCTGTGAAGAGAACTGATTACACATAAGAACGATGCAAGTTCCATTCTTGGCCTCTGTTATGGACTGAATTTTATTCCTCAAAATTCATATGTTCAAGTCCTACTCTCCAGAACCTCAGAATGTGACTGTATTTTGAGATAGGGCCTTCAAAGAGGTGATTAAGTTAAAACAAAGCCATTAGGATGTGCCCTAATCCAATATAATTAGTGTCCTTATCAGAAGAGGACATTTGGACACATGAAAGGGACACCAGGGATGCATGTACACAGAAAACACACACACACGCAATGTGAGTGTGGAGAGAGAAGATGGCCATCTGCAAACCAAGAAGAAGGCTTCAGAAGAGACCAAACCTGCTGACGCCTTGATCTTGGAATTCTGTCCTCTAGAACCATGAAAAATAAAAATAAATTTCTGGTGTTAAGCCATCTAGTTGTGGTATTTTGTATGGCAGGCTTAAGAAACTAAATATAGCTTCAAATAGCAACTTCCTACGGTCCAAAGTTATATGTGATTAAGTTTTACAAGCAGTTTTTAATATCTATGGTATGTTCACTATTCTTGATTTCCTTTATTTCACTCATTTAAGAAGAAACTAGCAGGGGGGGAAAAAAGCAGAAAATATATAATGTTCTTTGAGGATAAAGAGCTATTCAGAAATTCAGTAAGAGAAATAGAAATATACTAGTCCAGAGAGTGTTCCTATATGATTGCTAAGTAAGTTTCATCACTTTACTCCCAAGGTCATCTCTATTAGCAAAAGTAAATAATCATAATTACCTTTTTTGGTAGCAGATTGATCCAGGATCTGGAGCAAGGATTCCACTTGCTTCTCTTTTCCAGCTAATGCAAAAGCGTAAGCTATGATTGCATGATGATTGTCGTTGGTGACACCGTTTTCCAGTGCCTCCTCTAGGCAAAGGAGCCCTTGTTGTACAGCAGAAAACTAGTCATGCAGAAAACCAATAGACTTTAAAATAATACCTAAGCACTTTGTAAGCTTCCTGAATACTTAAACTAATCATCCTTTGTACCATATATTATATATCCTTAAAGTATATTTTATATACAAGCTGACTCATATGTATGCATATGTTATACTTTATAAATATCAATAAAATTAATTTTAAATGGATTACTAGTATTTGAGAAATAAAATTTAAATAATCTGAAAATACCAGTTCCTATATTTGATCTGCCATATTTTAGTTAATAACATAAATTTCTTATATGTGGCAAAGAATACACATTTATTTTCAGACATAAAATATGTTTTTCTAATACCTAAAATAGAAGCTTATATTTCTAAAGATGATAGACAATGACTCTGAAAGTTCCTAATATCTCCTTTCAGGAATACAGTGTGCAATGAGATAATTTGACCTTTGGGTTGGGAGGCAGCCAAGGTGAACAACACTTAGGTTGAAATGTTTATACACTGAATTGGTTAGAGAAACAGAATCTAGGTTATGCTTGTGCTTAGAGCATGGGTTCTTAATCTGAAATTCACGACCGAACTTCAGGAGATCTGTAAATTCCTGAAACAGTATGAAAAACGTCTGCGTGTGTGCATGTGCATATTCTCCCTCGAGAAAACCCCAACAGTGCTCATCAAAGCTTCCTATGCGTGAAAAAGAGCTTGAGTACCATCAACTTAAAGAGAGGTAATGAATGAAATCTTCTCTTGATGTTTCATCCAATGTAAGAATTTCAAATCACTCTTATTTCACAGTCTATTTAATATGCATTCATCTGGCTGAAACTAAAAAATGATGGGAATTCTTACCGTAAAATTGAGCCCAGCTTCAAAGAATGTTCTAACAATGTACGCAGTGAGGAAAAGGTCCTCTTCTTCTCCCTCAACACAAAGGAACAATGAGTTATACAGGATAGTAGAGCACAAAAGAACAGCTATCCTTCTGAAGTGAACCAAGGTATAAAAGAAATACTGAAAACAATGACCATTATTTAGAAAAAACACCTGAAAATGTGTAATTTTTAAATTAAATTTGTTTGAACAAAAATTCATCAAGATCCAGTGTAATAATGAAATAAAACACACAATTAATTTTGAGTATACTTAATGATACATATAATTGTATTTATGTGGCCTGGCATTAAGCAGGAATTGAAGCAATTTATATGAAGAGCCATATTTTACTTTACTTGGTATTAATTTGAAAAAGCAAACAAAGACTTTCTCATGGGATAGAACAGAAAGCTGCTGAGAAGCTTCCTAAACATCCCTGGAAAAGTATCCTAGGAAGTAACAATGATTGGGTCTCATGGATTCTTGCGGTGTAAAATTAGAAAAACACTTATAAATTATGTGGTTTGCAAACTGACTGTGCATAAAAATACCCTGGGTAGGGTTAAAAATACCCTATTTAACTTATAAAATAAACCAGTATCCACACAAGAGATTCTGACTTAAAAAGTCAGGAACAAGATATAAGGAAATGAATTTTAATGAGTGCTCTAGTGATACTGATGCAAATAACTTTCAGATGGCATTTGGAATCCACTGATCTAACAAAAACTTGTTTTATTTATTTAAGCAAAAGGTGACTTCTCACTTCTTCAGAAAAAAATATTTCTGAGGAGCTCAGTTATCAAGGTGGAAATAACTGCAGATGTTGGGCACTAAAATAAGATGTGGGGACCCAAAGAACACACATAAATTATAGCAAGTTATATCACCATTCTTCTGCAGTGCAAGTTTTTTATTTTTTCCTTGCTTCTTTCTCTTGCCCAATTCAAAAGACACGCACACACACACACACACACGGAAAAAGGATTGGGTTAGATTAGACAAACTGAAATAGTGACCAGTAATGAATCCACTAAGAACTGTAGCAGTGCTTTAGAAGACGATATGAAAAATTCTGATTTTTCTCTACAGGAATCTCCTGTTTTAGAAATAGTTTTGAAATAATTTAAAGATATTTTCCCACACTACATAATTGTAAAGCAATTGGAAAACAATTCACATTAAAATTAAATACCATACAGATTTACCATTCATCCGTATTTTGAAGTGGATTAGCTTTACATTCCAAAAATCCAAAAACAGAAGTGTTGATTATGAAGGACACAAAGGAAAAGCCCAGGATATTCCAGACGCTACCAGGGCGTGATAAAATATCATGATCAGGGATTTATAGAGGGAAATACAGAGGTTAGGAGAATAAAGGCACGGACGATGGGATGGAAATGGCAGCAATCTACAAAGAAAGGAAAACAGGAGTGATTTGCCTAAATATGGACAGGAAAAGGGAAGGAGTGATTATTGTCAAAAACATAGATCACCTCATTTGCGTTTTGACCTAGGGCAAACTAGGCCTTCATGCTTTGACTTGAGAAGGGATTGGAAGAGTGCTTCACGGAAGCAATGTAAAGTACTAGATACTTCCCCTGAACTTTCTTATCACCCATGAATAGGAATAAATTACCTACTCAAAGCCCCTTCCTTAACGTATCTTCTGGCTCCAAACTTATGTTTTCTCTCTTAAGTTCCCTTTCTCACCCCATTTTCCTATTTCTAGTTTGTATCTCAAAATAGATTGGTTCCGTGGAAGGGCTAAAGACAGTAAGACAGATAATAGATTCATGAGGAGTTATATCTAGCAGTGATGCTGTGGACTAATACACATATGACTGCAGCAGACTCAGAAAAGGCAATATTCTCAAGGAAAAACATTCATGTTCCAGATTAGTTGGGCCAGAGGTAGGGAAGGCAGGCAAATATAAAGGAGTGAGGAAAGCCTTCGACTGCTAATCTCTCACCTCCCAGGCATTGTTGAATAACTTGTCATCGCTTTTAAAGCAGCCACTTCTTTCCTGTTTGCTTAAAAGCCAGATCAAGGTCTGTTGTTGAACTTGTTCATCAATGAAAACATATTCCTTCATTCTCTCTAAGGTCTTGAAAGTCAGGGCAGTGAGCCTGCAATGCACACCACCAGTTAGACAAAAGTTAGATAAGAAAGAAATGATAATGTCAGCTACTCGACAGATTCATCACCATTGTTCCCCATGGGTAATAGGTGCATTTATTTGCCTAATGTTCACTAATGCATATTGAGAGTGGCTCTTTCCTTTGGGGCAATAAAATGTACTGAAGAGCAATATGTGAAAATAAGAGTTGGTGCTTTCCAGGGTATTTATACACAAAGTTCTTGCTATATAGTTCATTAGACTGTCCTTCTGTGGTGAGAGAGTGGGTGTAATTAGATGCTTTGGGGACATCTAGTTTTACTCTCCTGAATAAACATGGGACTCTAAGAAATGCAGACTAAGTTGTGTCATTTTCCATGGAGTTAAGAAGCTGTGGAAGTAGAGGGGAGGTCTCATTAAATTTGCCATGAGGCTCTCAGTATATGCATTAGGACTGGAATAATCAAATATTTTTAGTATTATCTGATCCACCTCTGGAAACTCACTCTGAAACCCACTTTGCTTTTAAATCTCCATGGGACTCAAGTCCTCTCATTTTCTCATAAGCCCACCTTGGATCATTTCTACATTATTTAAAATAAAATTTTCATGTCTCACCATATGCTTCCTTCCTGATTTCTCTGCCAAAACATGCTATATGAGCCATCAGCGTTTTTGAAAATTAGCTGCTTTTGATACCCTAAAATACAACATTGTAGGAAATGATTTTTTAATATATGAAAGAAGAAAAATAAGGGTGTAGTACAAGCCCTGTGTTTTGGTGTTAGACATAAATTACTGGATAGTCATTTCAATTTAATTTCTGAAACTCAAGTTATCTACACTGAGAAAAAATTAACTTCTACCTTTTAGGGGTTTAATAATGCTATGTGACAATACGAATGTAACAATAAAATCACCAAAAAAAATAAAAATCTTACATGTGACTGAGCCTAACTCAATAATCGGCATTTACAAAATTTCATTGAGATTATTTTTTGTGTATTATCCTTCTGAAAAGAAAACCCAAGGAAATCGTACCTCGGACTTTTTCCTTAACATCACATTGTATACGGTTTTTGCATCCTTTCCTCACATACAAACCCAGTCACTTCTTTGCAATGAAACACAATTGAAAGATAAATACAGAAGTTGATAAATAAAGCATTTCTAGCTACTATTAATAGCAACAACAACAACAACACACAAGGTAGCTTGGCAAAATTTAGGCACTAAAAAAACCTGAACTCATAATTGGAAATGTTAGTTTTAAATTGTGAAACTAAATGACCACACAGGTAATAAAGTCTAAAAAAAACCCCAAAACCTCAAAAATACCAAAAGCAAAAAACAAAACCATAGCTCAGACTCAGAGCATACCTTAGTTCAGATCCATTTTTCCCCCACAAGACTACCTCCTAACAGCTTTTAGACATCTTGGTATCAGGAACAACTGATTTCATCTATTATGGGCAGAAATTACTTAAACCTTCTCACCATTAGATAAGTAAGAGAAAGCCTTAGATTTAACTTCCTCTGTCAATTGTTCAGTGGATTTCAGGTAATCAAGGACATAGGTATCAGATGCTAGAAGGGCAATATTCTGATCTCCAGCTCCACTGGGCATTTTCAGAAGATTTTCTAGATTCTGCATCGCAAGTCCTAGAATATCCCCTAAAACAGGGAAAGCAGAAAGTTACTATCACTTAAAGTTGGTACCTGAGCATTAATAACAAAGATTAAAAAGGCTTAGTGAAAGTAAAAAATATTTAAAATTGAGCCTAAAAGGTGGAAAAAAGGAAAATTTTTATGAAGTAATTCTGAAAAGGAGACAGACATAAAGGGTGAAGTTAATGGGGTTTCAGGTATGAAAACTATTTCTGAAAAATCTCATTACCAGAGAAGAGAAAGTTAAGAAAGTATGCTTGGGTTTTTTTTGAGAAACTGACCCTATGAATCGTAAACTCTAATCCATCCCTCTCCCCAAAAGTGTTAATGTTAATCATAGATAAACAAGCTGGGCTTTTGTAAAACATATTTGTCCTATTACTGAGCAAATTTCCAGCATTTATAACAAGCAAAGATATTCTGATTCTCCAAAGGGGGATTTAATATTTCAGATTAATACAATAGAACTCCTAGTTTTCTAGATACCAATTATCACCCACCAGAACAAATGTTTCCTAGGGACACAGATTTGAAAATGATGCTATAATTCCTTCAGATCCTCATAGGAAAACAAGCTTAGAGGACAATCCTCAACAATAATTCTCTTCAATGGATAGCATAAGAAAATCTCTCCATCCTGTTATTTTAAGGAATTTTTAAAGTCCACCTTGATCAAGATTTTTCAAATCATTGCGGAACATAAAATTTAACCAACTTACCCACAACAGTGAAAAAAGCCCTGGCGGATCCTTCTACCACGTTGTTTGGCAAATCCAAAACTACTGGCATGGAGATTTTGGTGCCTGGAAAGAAAATATCAATAAAATAAATAATGTGATGACTGCCTTTTATAAACAATAGCAGAGGACTTGTGGGACAAACTTATTATGAAATACATTTCATTATTATATTTTTAATTTCATAAGTTGATTGTTAGAAGAGATAATTTGATCTAGTTTAGAATAACAATACATTCAGAAAATGGTATATACATCTGTGCTTTTTATAATGGCCCCTATTTTTCATTAGTTTAGTGCCTATACTACTTAAGTATAAGAAATATCAAAAACTGCTGACTATGATATATAAAATAGCACACATGATAGGTAAATCTTGGAGATGCCTATTAGCCATTAAAATGATATCATTATCAACCAGATAAAACAATTCTGTGATGGCCATTAAGCAGGCAATTGAGGGGCAGCGACTGTATCATCCCAAGTGTACAAAAGCAAAGATTATATTCTGTGTAATTTGGGCATAATCTTGATTTCCCATTATCCGACAGTAAGTTGAGGCAGACCAACCAATGTGTTGGGTGAACTAAAAAGTAATAATAATAATAAAACCCCATAAATACTATAGTTTTTGTTGGCTAAAATTATACCATAAAAATAGGACATGAAAGAAATAACCCTCCATTAGGTATTTAGAATGAAATCTCGGAGGTAAGTGTTAACAAATTTTCTTTAGGACTAAGTTTACTACCTAAAGATCCTCTTACCTTTTGTCTGAATAAGGAAACTTTGAGTCATTTCTTTTTCGATACCTTCGGGCTGTCAAAGAGTAAACAAAACAAGTATAAAATAATGAGTTTGGGTTATCTTTCCACGAGGGAAACGCAATCAAACAGCAGCTTACACAGGTATGGCTGGACAGGTTTGTCCTGGGGAGAAGGCCCATTTGCTGCCACCTTCTGCTTATATCTAGAAGTCACTGTACATTACCAGCATGCACTTTAGGCCCTGTACTCGCATGTTTTGGACAGAGATAACTTTGTTGTCATTTCGGGACACTTTCAACTCCTCTGATACCGTCTAGCATCTCCAATAAACAAAGTGTTCTGCAGAGTAGGAACATGCCAAGAGGTGAGGGGGATGGAAACTGCATAGGGCTGTAGGGCAAGTAGATTTGCCTTGGATTGGAGTCAGTTAAAGAGGGGAAAGGAAGAAAAATAAGTGTACAGGAAACATCATGAGTCAGGAACAAACAAAAAATCATCAAGCCTGTTTTAAGTGATAAGTTTTACTATGCTGGGTCAGATATTAGTTAAGGATAAATTTCATTGCTGTTTGAAATAATTTAAGATGGTATGTCTTGTGTCAAAAGTAACTATGGTCAGTTAAGTCTCTTCAAAGAGAATGTCTTTTAATATTTAACCTATTAGCTACTGTCTATTTCTTACCCAGAAGAACTTGATATTTTTGCATGTACATACCTCTACAAGCAAACTTTTGACCACAGTATCTTTCCAGTTTAGATTTTGCTCCTCAGTTGCTCCATCTGGGCAAGCACTACTTGGTCTGGACTCAGCAACTACAGTGATATTCACTTTACCTGGAAAACATTCCCAAACATAAGTTACACTGATCACTGACCCCTTTTATGACACAGAAAATAATAAAGAGTCTGTGAACCACATTTTGAATTGGATGAACTGAATTCTACCATATTTATGCTTAGACCAAAATACATTCTTCTTTCCCCTGACAGGAAATAATTTAGTATATTCTGTTTTACCTGTTTCAAGATTCCTTAGATCAAATAAGTGACTCATTTACTTAACTAGAACTTAAGAAATTTTCAGGAAAAATAATAGTTCTGCAAAGCCAAGTGAGAATATTGCTTGATATTGTTTATGTTATCTATGGCAATATAGGGACATAACTTCAGATAACCAGGGTTCCTAATTTATCCCAAGATCAGATAAACAAAAACAGGAAAGTATGACATAGTGGAAAGGGCACTGGGTTTATATCAAGTGCTAACAAGGAATCCTTTTTATTTTATTTTATTTTAAACTCCCTATAATATCAGATGTTACACAATCTCCAGTTTCCTTACTTGTAAAAGTCAGAGGATTGAAAAATAGAATTCTTTTAATTTAATATTACCTATTTGCCTATATGCCAACATGAATAACCAATATGCTGTTCTCGTTTTGTTTGTTGTTGTGTTTTGTTTCTTTTTAAGAAAGCCTTTAATTCTTCACTCTTAGAACTGTGTCCCCCATTTAACGCCATAAAACCATACAAGTTAATGAAGTATTCCATCTCAATCGTCAGGGTAAAATTTTTGAAGACCTTGTATAGTTAGAAAAATTGAGAAACTTAAAAATCTTAAAGGAAGAGTAGTTACAGATGGATAAACATGACAGGTGAATTAAAATGATCTCATAAAAATACTCTTTGTTGGTGATGGAAGGAGATTTGACCTGGGGTGGTGAGCACATCATACAGTATAAAAATGATGTATTATAGAATCGTGCACCTGAAACCTACATAATTTTATTAACCAAAGTACCTTAATAAATTTTAAAAAATCAGAAAAATAATACAATAAATATGGGACATGAAATAAAGAAAATTTTAATGACACTTAATTTTTAAAATTAGTGATAATGGCCATCTTGCATTACCACATCTATCATTCTTTGTTTATTAGAATCCTTTTAACTTTTCCCTTCCCTTATATTATCAAGAAGATACTTGCAAATTTATTTTTCTATATTGCAGGTAATATATGCACTGAGACAATGCTTGTCAGTGTTTGATCTCTACCTAAGTGCTCAGGGTTTTTGGTGTCTCATGATATATTTAGTAAATCTACAAATCCTGGCAATTATTCTGATTGAGGAGCAGTTTTTGTATAGGTGACATGGGTTCATGATGACAAGTGAGAAGTAAAGGAATTGGTCAGCATTAATGAAAATATGGCCTTCATTTGGGATAATATAGAGAGACTTCACAGGTCACACAAGTTAGCATTTCTATTGTATTCTGATTACATTATGCTTTTATACAAATGAAGGGTGGTTTTGCTTTACACAAACACTAGCAACCAGAAATTTGATTATAAAAATAAGATTTTTAATTGAGAATTTAAAAAAAGCAAAATAAAAAATGTGGTGAATAAAGTTGTTTGCACAGAGAATTTAAGGAAAGTAAATAGAGGCAATAAAAATGGGCTGGTTTTCCATGAGACACTGGCATAGATACATAGCTGCTTACCCAACTGCTTAGGTGTAAGAGTCCAAACATATGTTTTCCTCTCTCCAGCTTGAATAATCTCACTGCCATTGTTTTTAGGGGTGCGGATATTTGCCTCAAAATTCTGAGATGCTTCCAGTTGAACAGAAATCTGAAAAAAAAGTCATGGTAATGAGGGTGGTGCTCCAAATACTTTGCTGTTACTATTCCTCCTCCCATCTCAAGAAAATTCTGCTTTACTTATTTTAAGTTAGCAGAGATAAAAACACCAAATGACTCCTCTCCCACAAAGATAAATATGGTAGAATACACATTATTAGGAACTGACATTCTCAAAGCAGGATTTAAATCACTGCTGAGAATTAAAGCAATTGTTTTTGTTTGAGGACTATGGAGACAAGTCTGATTACTTTATTGTACCATTCTGCATTCGAGAATGAAAAGAATGCGGCGATATTCAAGGAAAATATTAGGGACTTTTTTGCCCTTGTTAGATTTTGTCTCCAGAGCAAAGGGAACAACTTACCTCTGCACATGTATTCAGGTAGCTGAAGACATTGACAATCACGTCGGATTGTTCATTTCGAACAATGGAGAAGGGTAGGGTCATTTCAACAAAGAAAGGTTGGGAAGCTTCCAGAGCAATTGTTGGCGAAATGCCAAATCCTGCATCACCATTCACACAGAAGCCATTTGTCTCCCATCGAGTTATAGTATCAGGGATGAGGAATGAAAGATTTGCTGAACCTGAGGAACTACAAGGACAGGGTATTGGTAAAATGATATATATTTTTTGTATAAACCAAACACTTAATCGGTCCAGAGCAAGCAAAAAAAAAGCCTTAACTAAAGGTTAAAAGTGAGTGATAGTGTTTAGATAAGCATTAGATAAAAGTTTTAAGAACTGTATTTCTATGAAATTTAACCTTTAAAAAGTCACATTCCTTTAAGCACCACATTATTTTTTAAAACTGTGCCATGTTACATCTATATGCATGAAATTAGTAAATGAGAAATGATGCAGCACATACAAACGAACGGTATTACATATTTTTACTGCTTTATATCCTCAGAAATAAAGTTTAACAAATAATAACAAAAAGAAAATAGAAATAAAGACATGTCGGAAAGAGAACTGTTGAATACTCACTCGACACTGACGAGGTCCCATATCCACGTCTCTGGAAAGTTCGTTCTTACTGTTTCCGTTATAGCCTGTTCTACGGGGCCAACATTCTCATTCGCGTCTTCACCAGGTAAAAGAAAAGAGAAATGCTTTATTTTGCAAGAATAAAATATGTGTTTCAATGACACACACCTATAAGCTACGTCTTTAATCATATATGCTCGGTGTGAAACAGTTTAAGAATTTGCTCCTGGGACTCATTGCCAATAAATGGATACCTCAACCTAGGTATCAGCATTATTAACGACAAACCATCAGCCTACATTGTTTCTCCACAGCCAAGTTTAGAAGAAATGATGTCTATTCACTGAATCGAGTTTCTCATCTGACCTCCTGGTGTCGTCCAGAAAGCAGTCTGGTAGCTGCCAATTCCACTATGCCGACATGACTTTCACCAAAGCTTCTAAGGACATTCATATTGCTAATTCGAAAGAACACTGTTGCCTTGCTGAGGTCTCTAGGTTATTTGGCATTGTTAATCACTTTGTTCTTTTCAAGAGTCACTATTGTTAACTTCCACAATACCAGCTCCTTCTAGCCGTCTTCTCATCTCTTTGGCCATTTTCATTTGAGGGTGTGATCTTTTTCCTAAGAGCTCTGTGTCAGGTCCTCTTTTTCTTCCTGTGCCCGGCGTCTGGACTGATATTCTCACACATAGCTTCATTTCAGTACTTATCCTGAGGTATCCAATTCTGTGTCTCCCACCTGGACCTCTCTTCTGAGCTCCACGTTGTACATGCAACACCCTGGTGCACATTTCTTTTTGGACGCTTTACAGGCATTTCAAATCAAACCATCCAAAAAGTAAACTCATTATATCTTCCCTTGCTTCTCTCCAGTATTTCCCATCTCTACGACAGGCACCAAAATCTCCCCACTAACCCAAATCAGAAATTTTAGAATTGTCCTTGGCCCCGCCCCCACATTCTGCATTTTGTCATAACGAACCAAATGAAAACAGCCTTTTTATTGGTAGTCCAAGCACCACTGTCTCTCAATTCGATTACTAGCTTTTATAACATTTCATACAGACAGTCTTAGACAGCACAAGTCCCAATCCCTTTTTCCACAGAGCAATCAGAGATATCTTTTCAAAACACATATTAGATTGCCTGCTTCAAACTTGTCAGTAGTGAATTACTGCATTAGAATGAATTCCAAATTCTTTAATACCCTGCAAAGTCTTCACGGCCTGTCTGTTTATCTCTCTTGGTTTAGCTGTCTGGACTCTTGCCTTTGAGCCACACCTTCTGCCATTTTTGAAGTGCTTTTAGTTTCCTACCTTACTTTTCGTAGAGCTTCTCTCTGCTTGGAATGCACTTCTTTTTTTGTGGTGCATTTTCATTCACCTTTCAGGTCTTAATATAAATGCAACTTTTTCCAGAAGGACATGATAGGCCCTCGAGAAATTTAGGTTGTTTATCTTATTTCCATTTAATGCTCTCTTCCCAGGTTTTTGGAGTTACCTGTTTCACTGTAAGTCTTCCCTGTTAGACTAAACGTTCCAGGAAAGCAGAGATTAAGCCATTGCTTTTACAATATGTAACTAAATTTTTGACCTCAATAAATGTTTGTGGAGTGAATTAATAAATGAATAACTAAAGAAAGATGAAAATGACTGACTTTAGGTTTCAGTAGATTTTATTTCAGTACATTTTAGTTAAAGATACTGAAAAGTTTAGATGTGTCTGATAAAGCTCAGTAAATGTGATTTAAGCTAGTAGCAGAAAGTGGACTGTTTCAGCCTCTTGACCAGGACTTCAAAGTGGTTTCAACTTGTGGACTTTTAGGGCCTGTTGAACTCAGTGATTCCACCCTCGTATAAAGTTGTCAGGCTTTTCATTTTTCTCAAGTGGTGTTTCTGATATTCATCTTCAGGATCAACCCCACTTTAATTACTGGACTAATCTCCAGTTGTAGGCCAGAGGGATTTAAGAGATGCTATTCAAATGTTTTCAGATCTGGAATACAGCTTTGACTTGGGTTCTGTTCTGATGATCTTGTTTCATTTTGCTTCCTTGATGAAATTTCTGTACTGGAAATCTACCTAATTACTTCATTCATCTAAGACTATGACTGACTTTTGTGCTTCCAGTTCTTCCAGTAGGAAATGGACTAGTATTTGAACACACTGCTCTGATGCCAGTTGTTTGGCTATCTGGGAATCAAAATATCCTCTGCCTTGAATTCTGTGGATTATGGTCTATACATAATAAAGGCATAAGGGCCCCATGAGGACACCTCATTTTGCCTGTATCATACTCACTTATCATGACTTTCCTTGGCATTACCACATATTACCTGCTCCTGTAAGCTTCTGATACTGTGTTCTACCAATATAAATGAACTTCCTCTCATGTCTAATGCCAATTCTTCCATTTAACCCAAACCTTTCCCATCCTGCATTATTCTGCCTTATTTTGCAGGATATCTAGTTGTAGCCAAACCTGTGGCATAATTCAAAGGTAAAATTCCATTTTTTAAATAGTTTTATCTCAAATACACCTTTGGCCATTTCCCAGACATGAAATTCTAGATTACTCACAAGCAATCCCAGGTGAGGCACTGTCCATCGGTTCATATATTTCTCTGTCTGAATAGAATGCTCCAGAGAATGGGCTCCACTCTTCTGAACATAGTTCTGGTTTTCGATAATGGAGATTGGTAAAAGCTTTCAGACCCATGGTCTTCAAAGAAACAAACAACAAAAGAAAAGTTGTGCGTTTTTTTCATGCAAGACCTAAGGAAGGTCTATCAGCTACATTATAATGATAAATATACATGTTTCCTCTGCTAGCAAGGGTCTGGGATTTTAGAAATAAAGTCACCTGTATTTGATGTGTGAAAAATAACTAATCTGAATGAAAAATGATAGTCTTATTTATCTAGCACTCATTATGTGCTAGGATTTTGCTAAGTATTTTACATTATTTTCCATTTAATTCTAAGGGAAAAATACTTACAAAATAGGCTTTATCATTATCTTAATTAACACCAAACACATACATACTCTCACACACACACATATACAATTTGCAGTCCGTAATTTAGAGAGCTGGGACTTAAACTAAAGCCTATCTAGTTCTATGCCCTTTTCTTTTTCTATCTGTGACTACAATTATAAAGATCCTTTCACTGAGGTCTCAGCATATCTAATTGATAGCCCAGGTATGGATGGAGCCCCAACTATATTCTAGACTCTTGATATAACTATTTCTGCATAAGATTTATCATAATAAATTGAAGACTGTCTCATTACTTCAAACATGAAGTTTTATAATTTCATCTGCCACTTAATTTATTTTCAACAAAAGAATCAACAAGAATTAATGTCTCCTTTTCATAAGACAATTTCTAAGTGCTCTTTAAGCAGATTACTGACACCTATCTCAAAGAATAGAAAAAACTACATAAATAATAAAACATAGATATGCATTATGAGTGCTAAAATTAAAATTGACATAAAATAAATTTAAAAATGTTAACTGCTCTTACCTTGACAATATCATAGGTGTCTCCATCTCCATTGTTGCCTACAGGTTTGTAATACAAACCATTGTAAAACATATACTTCTGAGGAATGCAAGGATCTGGCTTGCCATCGTCAAGGTTGAGACCTTGATAGAAATAACCATAGAGTTCTATATTTGGAAGCAGGTTGTACACCTATGAGAAAATTACATGGTTTTCAATGACTTTTAAGTACTCCTTTTACGTTTACAAAACTGGCAAATTTGTGCCATAACCATTTTTTATTGTTTTGTTTGCTTGTTTTTTAAATATTGAATCCAACACTTTTGAGTCAGCACATTTTTCCAGAAGAGGCGATCAATTTTGTTTTAGGTGGTTGAGGACATATTTACAAAATTTTTCTGCTTTGGTGTAGAGTTAGGATATCAAGAAATCTGAAGATCTATGGCTTAAGCCAAGGTCTAGTGTACAGATAACTCATTGCAATTATTTGATAGAACTCCCAATTCTGGAGAAAAACAGTAGCTGTCCGATTCTAAATCTTCTTACATATTGTTTTAAAGAAAACATAAAATCAAAGAGGAGTAACAAAATCCATGACTTGCGTCTTTAACATTCCTACGTAATACTCTGACCTTCAAATTACTTATGAGTAGAGAAATAACATAAAATTCCAACAGAGCTTCTACTGCTGCTGAAATCTGGGGGCGTGGAAAGCTGGAGAGGAAGGCTTACGAGGCTACATGAGAATAGCCTAAAGAAACCAGAGGAAATACACACCAAATCAACTCCAGATAAAAGAAAGTACAACGTTAATTGTCAAAAAAATGAATCACAGTCCTCATACTCCATAGGAAACAGGGAAGAGGTTAGAAATGAACGGGCCTGAGAGTGGCAGCTTCCAAAAAGCATGGCTGATGGGAAATCATCAGATCATTCAAGGAGGTGTGGGGACTCTTGGAAACATGGCACTGAAACAAGAGAAGGATGTCGGAGGGTAAAATTTAGGACACTGTAGAAACAAAAGAGGGGTAAAATATGCCAATCTTTCCACTCCTATTTTTATCACCAACATTTTTATTAAAGAAATTGCATTTCACTAAAATAACAGGAAAGGATATTCTTTACCTATGAACACTGTCCACAAATTATCAAGAACAGAAAAAAAATTCATTGTAGCAAAACTGCTGTAAGATAAAAGAGATCAAATGAACTCTAAACTGTTAGGAGTTCAAGAAAAAAATAGATTGAAAGAAAATGTTTAAAAGTAGCATAAGAAAAAAAGAATGAAAATGAGAGAAAGAATGAATTAAAACAGGTCATAGGCAAAGTGGTGAATTGGAGAGCAGGCAGAGATCAAGCATATTTATAAAGTTTTACTAGAAGAGGGGAAAAGAAACAATGGAAAAAGTAAAATTTAAAATTATTATTCAAGACAAATTCTGGAAATAAAAGATGTGCGTTTACACATTGTTATGGGTCCACTGTGTACTTAGTAAAACTTCCTCCAAACAACAAATTCTGATAGATATTTTACTAAAATTATTAAATGTAAACTATAAAGGAAAAAAGGCCTTCAAGACCTTCAGGCAAAAAAGATTAAATAGCTTAGAAGAGCAAGTGAATTAGACTTATGTGAGAAGATCTAAAAGCAATATTCAAAACAAGGCGATAGTGGAGTAGCCTTTTCATGAAACTTAAAGAAAATGGAAACCTAGAATTTAACATACAGATAAGCTGCCCTTCTCATAACAAAACTTTAATAAAACATTTTTACATTGGAAAAAATATGCACTTTATGTCATGATTCATGGTTATTAGATATTACACTATTAATTAATTTTTATAGTTTTATATTTAAAACTAGATTTACTATAGAGTGTTAAAGGCAAAAAATACAAAGATGCATTTTTTCAGTGAGATCTTATTTGTAAAATATATACACCTCTCTCTGGGGAGCACACCCATGTCTTTTCCATCCCACTTTTCTTCACCCCAGACCAGTTATAGACCAGTTACTTTTGCCTTTCCCTCTCCTAAGCTCCAAGGGCCCTTCTTTTGTTTCTGTTACTTGTTTCCTGAGCCTACACAGCCCAGCTGGCTCACTTCTTCTACCTCTGTGACATTTTTCCCCATCAACTATTGATGTTTTCACAATATTTTATTTTATTTTTAAAAATTTATCCTTATTGTTGAAAATATTACAAATGTTCCCCTTTTCCCCCATTAACTCCTTCCACCCCCCACCCACTCTCCACCCCAGGCCTTCACCACACTACTGTCTGTGTCCATGGGTTACGCATATATGCATATAAATTCTTTGGTTAATCTTTCCCCACCCACTCCCACTTTCTCTCTGAGATTCGTCAGTCTGTTCCATGCTTCTATGTCACCGAAACTATTTTGTTCATCTGTTTATTATGTTCCTTAGATTCCATATATAAGTGAGATCATATAATATTTCCCTTTCTCTGCCTGGTTTATTTTGCTTAGCATAATATTCTCCAGGTCCATCCATACTGTCTCAAAGAATAAAAGATCCTCCTTCTTTACAGCTGCATAGTATTCCATGGTGTAAATGTCCCACAGCTTTGTTATTCGCTCATCTACTGATGGGCACTTGGGCTGTTTCCAGATCTTAGCTGTTGTAAATTGCTCTGCTATGAACACAGGGGTGCACATATTCTTTCTGATTAGTGTTTCAGGATTCTTAGGATATATTCCTAGAAGTAGGATCACTGGGTCAAAAGGAAGTTCCATTTTTAATTTTTTGAGGAACCTCCATACTGTTTTCCATAGTGGCTGCACCAGTCTGCATTTCCACCAGCAGTGTACTAGGGTTCCCCTTTCTCCACACCCTCGCCAGCACATGTTGTTTGTTGATTTGTTGATGGCAGCCATTCTGACAGGTGTGAAGTGATACCTCATNGTTGCAACCATTCTGACAGGTATGAAGTGATGTCTCATTGTGGTTTAATTTGCATCTCTCTGGTGAATAGCAAAATTGAGCATTTTTTCATATGCCTCTTGGCCATCTGTATTTACCTCTGTAACTTTCTAAATAAACTTTCACTTATAACTTGGAAAAAAAAAACTTACAACAAAGATATAGATATGTCTAACTTTTATAATTCTGAGTGATTTTAAAGATTTTCTTTATAATTTTGAACATTTTCTATACTACACAGGTGCTGTGATCTGAATGTTTATGTCTTTTCAAAATTCATGTTAAAATCCTAATACCCAATGTGATAGTATCAAGAGGTAGGACCTTTAGGCAGTGATTAGGTTATGAGGGCAGAGCCTTCAAGAATGAGGTTAATGCCCTTATAAAAGATGCCCAAGAAATCTCCCTTGTTCCTTCCACCAGGACACAAGAAGTCTGCAACCAGGAAGAGACACAACATCTGATCTCAGACTTCCAGCCTCCAGAACTGTGAGAAAAAAATGTCTATGGTTTATAAACTACCCAGTCTGTTGTAGGCCAAATGTTACAGCAGCCCAAAGGATTAAGACAATAAGTATAATTTTAATAATAAAATTTTAAAAATTATTAGTTTTAAATATTATCATAAATTTCCAAAACAAACAAACAAAATAGAAACAGACTCATAGATACAGAGAACAGACTGTTGCTAGAGGGGAGGGTGTTGGTGGACTGGGTGAAAAAGGTGAAGGCATTATAAAGTACAAATTGATAGTTATAAAATTGTCATGGGAACATAAAGTATAGAATAGGAAATACATATAATCAATAATATTGTAATAACTATGTACGGTGCCAGGTGGTTACTGGAAATAATGGCAGGACCACTTTTTACAACATATGACTGTCTAACAACTATGTTGTACACCTGAGACTAAACAAAATAACATTAAATGTAAAGTGAAATTAAAAATATTCCATACTTATATGTGCTTGTGTTCAAAATAAAGGGAAAATATCCAACAGCTATTAACTGAAACAAATTGGGGTGAAACTGGGATTGCTGGTCTGAAAATGCTTATGAAAATATAAGATGAATTAATAGATAATAACTTTAAATTGTAGCTGAGCATTCAACAGAGATTTAACTCTAGGTTTCCTCATACATATAATTACATCTATGATTTTTTTCAAAATCACATTGTTGTAGGATGCCTACCCTATCATAATTATCTACTGAATTCTGTATGGTTACGAGTGCTGGGTTAGCCGAGAGAAATAATTAAGTAGATAATTATTTAGATAATAATTAAGTAGATAATCCATGAAGGAACAAAGGAAGAAAATATTCGATATTTCCAAGATGTTCATCTCCAAAATACCACCTGACAGTTAGAGTGGCAGGAGTGCAGATGAAACTGAGGAGGGTGAGGGAGTCAGAGAGCTTACACTGTCGGCGGACAGCTCTGGTTCGGGTTTCAGGAGAAGAACGCTTTTGTCCACAGCCCGGAGCGCACAGAGGGAGCCAGGGGCTGCTTGAACGTAGAGGCTGGTGTTGGAGCCAGGGAGGCCCTGCTCCTCAGAGAACTTTATGCTAACCTGAAGGAGAGCGGGACAAGGAATGGAGTTAGAGAATTTCATATGAAAATAATGTCAATATACTCAGTCTTTCCCAAAGACATCTTTATACACTTCTGTACCTGTATGTCCCCCTCAGCTCTCTTTACAGGGACACCCTCCCATCACCTCAGGGCTGGCATGACTGCCAAAAGTTATTTATTCTGTTGGGTGATTCCAGCATCCCCTAATAATTGAATTACACCAACGTTTATTATGAGAGTGCCCTGTAAGGTTTATAGCAGTGAGATGACAGGAAGAAAACTGCTCAGCCCTCTCACTCAGGACCAGCAAGAAATAGAAGAAACATCACCTTGTTTTTGAAGCACTTCTCAACCTGGAATTTGACAGTATCGGCCACGATTTCCCCACTGGGGTGAAGGGTGTAGACCAGCATGACAGCCACAGGAGCCAGATCCGCGCTGACGCTGATAGGAAACGAGAAGCGTCCATTCCAGGCTGTGTGAACAGGAGGCGTCAGCAACAGCTGCAATGCCTAAAGCTGCCCGGCTCACTGGTACACTTAGATAAAAGAGAGTGGCTTGGGGGTTGAAAGAGCAAGTTGGGCTTTATTTTAAAAGCAAATGAGTTAAATAATGGGAACCCTATATACAAATATGAACACTGCATAATTTAGGCAGTAATGATATTTGGGTTTAGGGCATCACTTTTCTACAATAACCTGGCAATAATAGGAACAGATTGAAATCTCCTTCATCAAAATATTTAGTAAGTTACCTTGGGCCACACTAACTATTGTCCTCCATTCACAAATCCGATTGTTAAGCACTCTTCTAACCTAACCTTTTGACTCTACCGCTATAACATTTTCTTAAAAATAAAGAAAACTGAAGGTGGAGTACGTATCAAAAAATAAATGTATCGTATACACCTTTGTTTCTGATTTCCTTTTGTCCACTGAGCAAGATAGCTCCTTTTGCCATCATCTGTGAAGAAAAAAGAAAACACAATATCTGAAAACCTATTATTTAATATATCATATAATTATTAGATAATGAGTAATCTAGTGATAATTCTATTCTGTAAGATAGGATATTGTTCATGAACAAATATTAAAAATGGGCTTTGCACAACTTGGAAAAGAACAGAGAAAGTTACTACAATTGATTGGGAGTCTATTATGTGCTAGACACTCGTTGAAAAGTATGCAGTGCACAGTGTAAGGGGCGCATAAAGCTCTGAAATTGTTTAGACTGCCTGGCTTTGAATAAGCCAAGTCATTTCACTTCTTTGCCTCTGTCCTCTTATTTGTAAAATGGAGCCACCCAGAGGGTTGATTAACAAATTACCACATGTAAAGCCCGCATAACGCTGTGTGACACATAATACTTACCCTAGGAGATGTCTTATTATTTCCAATTACAAATATATAGCTGAGGAAGCTAAGGCTTAGAAAGTTTAAACAATCTGCTGAATATCAACTAGCATGAAATAAAGGAGAGGGTGGAGGATTTTAATTAGGAGCCTTAATTTCCAATATTCACCTTTCAATATGCCATTTAAAGACAAAATGAATAAATATGGGACAGAACCAGAAGGGCTCATTTATTTTACTGTTTATCAAAATCAGCCTTCTGCTTTAGTCTCTGGTAACTGTCTAATATTTTACTCTCACATAAATACTTACTTGATGTGAGTTATAATTAAATGCTTAAAATAGCAGGCTCTGAAAAGTAAGTTTTTCAATGTTAGGGAAACTGAAAATGTCCTGAATCTTTTCAATGTATTCATTTGTTTGTTTCTGCGTGTGTTTCAGAGGGTGCCAACAGCGTTCCCCAGCAGTGAGGTTGGGCGCCTCAGACTGGCATGCAAGACTGACGCACAAGTTCTACACTGTGCTGTGCTAAGCAGACAGACAGGATCCAAGAACCCAGCAGCTGAGGCTTACCAAATAAAAGAAGTTTATACTTGAATCTTCCGTGTACGCTTCCCTGTTTAGGGAGTAATGCACACTAACAATCTTTTGTTGATTGCATCTGAGCTGCTGCGGTTCAGGAACGATCTTCAGGAAGCTGCCTGTTCGGGAGTAAAAGCGCGCGACTGAGAAATAGGCGTCCAAATAATTAGGCGCCAGCCAGCTGGAAGCGGAGCAGCTCGGAGGGTGAACATACATGGCCTGATAAGATGAAAGAAAGCAAAGGATCTTAGAGCTATAAAGACCTTTCAAGGACAATAATTACTACGGAATGAAAAGTTTCTGATCCCTTCAAAGTAGGAAGAAACCGTAGCCTGTGGCTGACTTTAAACATTAAGTTATTGGAAGTTAAAATAATAAAAGCACTCCTCTCTCTTTGTATATAAAACATGACCATGATTGTATGTCTATTTCATTAGGCCTACAGTGAATTGTTTGTTTTTACTTTGTAATTGAAGTCTTTCAGCTATATTTAAACTCTGATAAGCTGTTTAACTGTAAATTTCTGTTTAAGAAGCAAGTAAAAGAGAAATTATAGTATTAAGACTCCTAATCTAGGCATAAATGATCAGAGGGCAAGAGTCAAATCATCTTCATGAGCTATTTCTAACTTCTCAGAGGACAATAAGTTGTTAGAAATTTTATAACAATTATAATGGGCTATTATGATCTCATTCTCTTGACTAAATGTTCTCATGTATTATATAATGAACACTCAAATATATAAAATACCCTAAATTTTGAAACGTTGTCAAAATACATTGTCAATACAAGTTATCTTTTAAGAGGTTCTTAATGTTCTAAATTCTTAACATTCCAATCCTCTGAGACCTTGTCTATTCTTTGATGTCTTACTTTCAGGTTGAACTCCGGATCAAACATATCTGAAGTGTCAATGGATAACTGAGCTTCGCCATTCTCGTCTGTAGTGTAATTTCCTATAAATTTGTTATTGAGCTCCAACTGCAATAATTTGTTCACCATCGGGACATTATTAGGACCAGAAAATTTAAGCTGTACCAAAAAAAAAAAGAGAGAAGCATTAATTTTAAAAATTCAAAATGTCACATTTCTACTGAGAAGGAATTTTTTATTCATAAATGTAATCATTTATTTGTAATTTTCTTTAATTCTAACAGATAGATGTTCTATTAAGTAAATATATAATATGGAAACAGCTATAATTTTATCTATTGTTTTCTTTTAGCCTAGGACCTTTTCCAGTATATCAGATGTAGTAATGCTGCAAATGCATTATCAAAGTAGGAAAAACATGTCCAGAAAATTTCAAAGGGCCATCTATGATCCAAGAAAATGAAGTGAGAACATTTATTTTTTAGTCAAACTTACTGTGCCAAACAAAGGAACCCCTCTTCTATAGAAAGGGTCCATGTTCTGAAAGGTCACAGTCCCAAGAAATGGAGTAATAGAAATAGAAGCCTTTTCACTGATCTGCACACCTGTGAAAAATGAAAATTCTGTCAGGGAAGATGAATCATTTGATGTACAATCTTATAAATTTCTCACTAATAACTTTTGCACTTGCAAATGTTCCCAGTTGTATTAAATCAGAGGTCGACAACTTTCTTCTGTAAAGGATCTGATAGTAATGATTATAAGCTTTTGGACCACACGGTCTGCGTCACAGTTACTCAACTTGGTTGTTGTAGCTCTTAAGCAAGGCCAACAAATGTGGTCCTGTTCCAAGTTGAGTGTAGCATTAACGTAATAATTTTATTTTAAATATTATTAGAAAAATCTTATTCAAAAACAACCCTCAAGTTAACCTATTAGCAAATGTACTTCACTTTACTCTATTGAGCAATCATTGACCTGTAGTTGGTGAGAATTACTAACTCAATAAACTTCTCCCTAGTAAGCTGCATATGTCCTCAGGTTGCCCATAAAACACAACCATTACCTGTCCCAGTTTCTGTAGCAGTTACAGTGACATGAAATAACATGAAAAATCCAGGACGTTCGAATTGGAAGACTTTAGTATCTACAATTTGAGAAACACAACCATTTTTCAACTGAAAAATAAAGAGAAGATACAAAGAAAACGTTAAGGATTCAAAACCCTTTAAAGAGTGTTAGCACAGGTATGTATCTCCCCCCACCACCCAATGGCTTCATCTCACTTGTTGAAATGACCACAGAATTACAAAAGATGGGGGGAGGGGAGTTTTCATCAGCAATTACAACAAAGTAAGGAGATATTGTATATTTTACAGATGTCAGGGTTATTCTCCTGGAAACAATATGTATGGGAACAAGTTAAAAAAATAATCTGATGAATGAAATAGAACCAGAGGCATGGATACATGGAACAGACTGACAGATCTCAGAAGGGAGTGGGGTGGGGGTGGGAGGACTGGATAAAAGAAGGTGAAGAGATTAGCCAAAGACCCTACATGCATAGCCCAAGGACACAGAGAACAGTGTGGAGAAGGCGGGTAGGATGGCTCAGTGGAGGTGGGCAAAGAGGAGGAAAATGGGGACATTTATAATAGTGTCAACAATAAAAAAATTAGAAAAGTTAAAATCAAACTGAATAATATTTTAAAGATAAGAAATTAAAATCATCTTGAGAGGTACTGAGAACAGATAGAACAGAAGCACTCCTCCAATGTGTAACACCAAAACATGATTTAATATAAACTGATTACTTAAAATAAGGAAAAATTTATGGGTAATCTTTCATTGGTGACATCAGTAATTAGGGAAATATAGATTTAGTTATATTTAAAATAAAAAGTATTTATAAATTACAAATTTAAGATGCTAGAAAGATATATCAATTCATTTGATTATCAAAACTACCATATGAGCTAGACACTGTGATCATCTCCATCATGTGGATGAATAAACTGAAGCACAGGTTGGTTATATAATCTGCCCAAGGCCATGCAGTTAAAAGGCAATTTTACTATTTATGTAATAACAATTATCTCAGAATACAATCAAATTAAAAAGAAATAATAAAAATAGTCAGAAGAAATTTAATTGTTTTGAAATTAAGAAAAAAGATATTTTCTAGTAATACTTAGTCAATGAAGAAATGTAAGGTAAATCAATAATAATCTAGATATTAGTGTCAAGGAAAAAATGCTTTGTATCAAAATCTATGGTGTTTAGCTATGGGTGAGGAAAGTAAAGAACACTATATGTTTTTAACAAAAAGAAGCAACTAACATTTTTTAAAACCAACAAAATAAACTAAACTTTTATGGAAAAGAATTAATTAGAAAACTAAAAATTATTTAGGAACACAAAAGTAATATTAGAAAGAAAATAATATGAACAAAAGTCAGAGTAAGACCGATAAAACAGATGAACTATTTATAAGCATGATTTAGAATAAAGAGGGAGAGCAAAATTGTACAGGATTAAGTGCTAACACAACTGAATATTCATGTGGAAGAAAGCCAAATTTCTTATTTTAGAACATAATAAAAAACTACTGTATGTTGATTAGTGAAATTTTTTAAATCTTAAGAGTATACTTAGCTACACATAGAGCATAGTGGTGAGACCTTTTACTAAGATGAGAACCCAGAAGCATTAAGAACTTCACTATTTCAAATATACCACAATCAAAGTCACTATTTAAATAACAGACTTGAAAAACAATATTTGCTTTGAAGCTAGAGGACAACATTTATAATAAAAAAAAATCTTCAATTTCACAGAAACAGGAAAAGCAAGAATAATTAAAAATTCTCAAAAAAAATTCAAACTGATAACACAAATATGAAAATAGGCTCAAACTCACTAGTAATGCATATTTAAACAAAATAAATGTATCTTTCAAAATGACAAAAATTTTAAGCCTCCTACACATATATATCGCTCATAGTGATTTGGGAAATACAGTACATTCATATATTCCTGACAGAAATTTGAATTCTTGAAAATTTTTTGGACAACATGTCAATATTTTTTCAATTAAACTAATATATGATTCTATCATCTATCTGTCATCTATTTTGACTCAGAAAACTAACACTTAGTAATCTACTGCAAACAAATAAAACCTCTCATATAAAAAGATAATTTTAGCAGATTATTTATTGGTATATTTTTCACGCTGGGGGAAAAAATAAAACATTACCTGTGTGAACATCCATTGGTAAAATGACTAAATTAATTACATTTCAACCACACCACAGAATCGCATGCAGCCGATGGGGGAAAATTCCGCTCAGCCTTTCTTAGCCTGCAATTCCTACCTAAAAGATAAGTTTCTGTCCGTCTTTACCAAATATTGATATTTACCTAAGGGATGTTAACCAAATTTGGTGAGTAACTTCTGGACAATCAGGCTTAAAATATAAGCTGTTGAAGTATTACAAAAAAACCCTTTTGAAGTTCAAAGGCAATCCTCAGAGAGATGGGCAGAGTTGCTCACCTAAGGTTAAAATGCTACAGACCAAGAAAGCAAATGATGTCTTTGAAAATGAACTTCAAATCTAAAGTAACAAACGTAGATACTCTGAACTGCACATGTTTGCAAATGACCTTTTTTCATAAGGACAATTCTAGGTTGCATGGGGAATACTATGAGGGATTCATTTATTTAAAGGATAATTAATGATTCCCCAAAGAAAGATCAAGGAGGTCACCTAGACAGAGTATGAAACAAGGAAGCCAATATGAGCTTTCAGTTGTAAACACGTATTACTCTGTAGGTGGGCAACAATTTACACAGCCTAGAGAGTGAGAGACTGCTGTTAAACATTGTATTTTCTTCTTCATTCTTTACCTTATCTACCTGCAACCTCCATTAGTCACAAAATAAAAATACTGTTATGCCCCTTTTATAAATGAAACCAAAGAATAATCATAAAAATGAACAAGCATTTTTTTTGAAATAAAGATTACGATCTGTACCTGTACAATAAATTGTTCACATATTTCATTGTCTCTCCCACAGTTCTCAGAGGGAAAACGTTCTCTGCACACCCGGATTTGGACTTTTCCCTGCACAGGTTGGCCAAAGGTGTACCTGGTAAAAGAAGATGGTTATTATAGATAGGAAAAGCCATGGTAATATTTTATGGTCTACTTCAGAAATCATATATAAAATCTCTAAACTATGATCACTCCAAAGACCAAATTCCATTAGGAATCCTCACCTATCGGTGATATTGTCCCCACAAAACTTAGGTTAAATTAGGCATTTGATTGGTCTGCAGGATTCAGGTGCTTTTTAAAAATCAAATTAAAGGTAATGTAGACTCAAAAATTTCGGTGAATAGGATTTAATGATTAAACTGAGTTTTTAAATTTATATTTTGATCTGATAGAAATATAAAAATTGTTTGCAGCACTTTTTTCTTTAGCAGAAAATATATATGTAAACTAAATATGCTTTGACCAAAAGTATAGTGTCATTATGGGGTGGAGTTAAATAAATATCTCATTTTCTGCTGAAACACACAAAAAATAATAATGCAAGTTCTTTAAAAATTGAGTCAAAGGCAAATACAATTGATTTAAGTTTTTGTTGTTGTTAGTTGAGAATTTGGTCCACTAAGATTCAGAAATACAGATAACAAATGTAAAATTAGTACATAGCAAAACTCATTATAATAAAATTGATCAATTATAATACTTTTTCTAATTGTTGGACACTAGTATATGTCCAGTGTTTACATACATTATCTTATTTATTTTTCCCGGTGACCCTGAGATGTAGGTATATTATCTCACTTTACAGATTAGTAACCTGAGATCAAGTAACTCACTTCTCCTCATTGTAATTGGTGAAATTAAAATTCAAACTCAGATCTTCCTCACTCCACAGCCCATGTTCCTTCCATTCCACTAATTTATTTTTCTCTATTTAAAAATTCTTAATGCTTTTGAGATTTTGACTCAACCCAAATCATTAAAACCCTCTATTAGCTCTAAATATTAGTTGCATGTGAAAGAGAGGCAAAAAAAACTAAGATACCTGAAATATCTTATTTCTTCTTACTGTCTCTTATTTATGAAATAAAACTCTTATTGTAGTATTATCTACAGGTCAACACATGCCCATGAAATATGTAGCTTAAATTTTTACCCAGGTCAAAATCAACATTATCTCTTTGTTTTTGACTTGAAAGCTTTTGCTGGCTATTGCTTCAGTTTACCAATGTGTCTACCTGCCAGCAAGTTTTCTTCCTTTTTAAAAGCCCAATTCATCTCAGGTTGTTTGCTAAAATAATCTAATTTGCTGCTGTGTTTAGTGGTTCCAAGCTAAGTTCCAGGGAATACTAAAGAAACAAGGCACAGACACAGTGTTAAACAACTTGAAGTAAGCAACTGACTCACTGATGTTAACTTTATACACACAGATCCTGTACATAATATTCTCATAGCCTGTCCTGAAATAACCTTGCAGCACACAGTTCCTGTCTCAATTACCTGTTCCTGTTCCAGGATATTATTATTGCTGATACTAAAGTACTATTTAATGTCAAATCTAAGTAGAGTATAACATTAAAGAAGTTTCAGTAAGTCCCAATTCCAAATCAGTATTTAGCTTAGCAAGTCTTTTATTGAAGCTGAATGATACTTGATAAATATTTTGGTTGTTCTGATATGTATTTTTAGCATGCCGTTGGGCAGATAAATTATAGATGTTAATCCCACTGACAATTCTGGTTAGGTGTAGGGTTAAAAGTGAAGTCAACTTAGGTTCCTGGATTATCCCATGATTTTTTAACACAATCTATGATTTCTCATATATTACATTTATGAAATTACGACGTATGTTCAGCTACTGTTTTTGAAACTCAAAAAAAAATTATTACTTTTCTAGAGTCCAAGGAACATTTTAAATACTATAAAAAAGCTAAAAACTTTTTTTCAAGGTTCTTTGTGGCATCCATGAGCACTAACCTCACCTGTTTATTAGACAGTGTTTTACCCTGTGTCTTTAATATACTGCTGAAAATATTCAAAGGCAAGTAATTTGCATGTCATCAATTAAACAATGTTTAAAAAATATGGCAAATATTAATATTTTTAATTTTTACATAAAGTACAACAGAGTTTTTGGTTAGGAGAGTAGCTCTGAAGTCAAATAGCATAGGTCTAAATCCAAGTTCTGCCATCAAAAAAGCTCCATTAATGTTGATAAGTTATTTCAATTCTCTGTGTCTTATTATCTTTCTACATAAAATAAAAATGATAATAGTTCCTATCTCATAGCATTGTGGTGCGAATATAAGAAATGCAATGCTTAGTACCTTTATAGCACTCAATAAACATTAGTTATTTTTAATTATTTTTTAGAAATTTAGAAAAAGCATCACACTTTTTAGAAAGGTAAATGCATTAGAAATTATTTTCAAAAAGACAATAAAAATTTCTCAAACCATATAGGAATTTTTTTACATTAAGAGATTTAAGTTAACTCAACTAAATTGATAAAATGCCTTTTTTTCCCACCAAGGCATTTTCAAAGGTTTCTTTTCTTTTACCTCTTCTATTTTTTAAATGAAAACACCCAAGATGGTGAAGGTTCAATAAGGCAGAGATTTTTGTACCAGCTGCTGGAACTGTATACTGGCACAACATATTTAGTGAGCAATATGGCAATCAAAAGACTAAGAGAATGTTACACCTTTTGTTTTGGTAATTCCAATTCTAGAAATCTTTCTTAAGTAACTTTTAATTGGAAAGCTACTTTTTATACACTTATACACAAAGACATACTATAATATTACTAGAAAAACAAAATGGAACAGCCTCCATGTTATAAAACAGAAGAATGGTAAAGTAAATTTGGTATAGCCACAAAGAGACATTTATGGAGCAAAGAACTGGAATTCATGAAAAGATTGGCATAATATGGGAAGATATTTTCTTAATTATCATGGACAGAAAAGTATGCTTGCCATTACAGAAGCTTTTCCTCTAATATAAGATTAGAGGAAAATAAATCCCAATGTTAATGGCATCAGTAGAATTAATTATAGGTAATTTCTTATGTTTTTCTTTATATTTTTTAAATATCTTGCAATGACAATTCATTACTTGTCTGATAACTTTAACGTAAGTATATAAATAAAGTTACATGGTTGATTTCATTTCTCATTCTCTCTGAGCCTTGCATTGACTTGTGGAGTCAAATCTCCTGGATAAGTACTTACTTAGCACACGCATCCACTTGGAATTCCTCATCTGAAATAGTTACTGTTTGTGGTACATTCACCTTTACTTCAAACTTAGGCAACACTGGAAACAAAGAGAAACATAGTTCAGCCCCACAATCACTGGAGAGCAAAATTTATTACAATTATGTAACCAAGTATGCTTCTATGCACAATATTTTCCTTTGTATGCATCTGTATAGACCGCTCTTCAGTTGCCCCGATTTCTGGGTGGCACCAGTAAGGGACAGTGTCTCAGTGAATGGTTAATGATTCGCCTTTCCTTCCTCTTCTCTGTTCTCATAACTTTACATTTTATCTGTTGTAACCTTTTAGATCCTTCCCAGAAGACTGTGTAGATTTTATAAAATGAGATATTTCTTTGGAAGAAAAAGCAGGGATCAGAAAAAGGATACCGGCAAGGAGTAAAGAGCAAGAAAGATGACAAAGCGGGAAAGGCCAAGAAGGGAAGGCCGCAGAGCACCAAGCAAAGACTCACCGACTTTTCCTAATTTTAACATAAAAGTTACTTTGTTGAGTCCTTTGAAAGCTGCATTTATATAGAACAACTCTAAGTAGCAATGGGTTACCATATCTATTAACAGTAAATTGGTGTGTCAGTGTCCTTCCCGATGCGCTTCTCACGACAATAGAGTAATCACCAAACATTGGCTCCGAAATCAATCTGAACGAGAGTTGGGTAATATTTTGAAAAGGAGCCACATTTTCCCATTTAAAAATCCCATTGTTCTGAGGATCCTAGAAAACAAAGAACAAAAACAGAGGTCATATAAGAGTATTATCCTTTCCTTCTTCATTTGGGTACTTCCTGTAGTTATGGGAAGTAAGGAAAGTTCTACCGGAGAAACGAGATGGCGCGTAGGTCATAGCTGCCCCCGCCGCCTCCCGCAACCACATCAACATCACAACTAAAATGCAGAACCACAGTCGCTCAGAGCCTCCTGAGATCTGGCTGCACAGAAGCCCCACAGCCAGGGAGCTGAAGGAGCATCGAGACCGGTAGGAGGGGCAGAGACGTGGGCGGATCGGGGCTGAATCTTGGAGACGCCGCCGCGGGCCCACACCCGGTGCTGCAGGATAAACCCGGGAGGGAATCTCGGCGGTGGAGGTTTCCCCGAGGAGGGAGGGGTCCCAGTCCCACATTGGGCCCCCAGCTCAGGGCTCCAGTGCTGGGAAGAGATGTCCCCACAACTCCGGGCTGTGAAACCAGCGGGGACTGTCCCTGAGGGTCGCGGAGGCCGCGGGAGCCCCAGCAGCTCCTCCTAAGGGCCCGGCACGGACTCACTCGGACGCTCCCTCTGAGCCCAGCGCCGGGCAGCAGCCTGAAAGGACCCGGGACACTCGGGG